AATACGCGTGTGCTTATAACTGTCTTATACAGAAGCAACAAGGCCTATTTTTACCTGTAATTCTAACTCTTATAGAGCTCAAACCGTTTCTTAATTACAGCAGGTCGTCGATGAAATGACGCCGTCTGATAGAGTGAATACGGTGGCCTTCGAGAAGCTTTTAGCTTCATCATGTAACTTCGAAGTTCATTGCTTAATCCATAAGACAGCATGTGTTCAAAGCGCATTTGCCCAGTTTCAGTTCCTCAGTAGCTGCAGACGTCAGGCGACAGAATGCATTAATCTCACTGCGTGAGACAGACGAACAACTGATAATGTTAAGTATTCTCGATTTATTTTCCTTACTCCCAACAGAGGTATAAGCTAAAAGTCTCCAGTGTGTCGCTTGTGTTTTCTGGTAGCTACTGCAGCATTTAATGTTAGTCCTTTCTAGTTTCCAGAAACTGATGCCTGAAATTGGAGCAAGTTCTTCAGCACATGCCTTTTCGAGCTCAGTCAGAAAGTTGGCGTTGATATGCCGAGGTTGTCATGCCAAGTTTGCTCATTAACTTCCTCGGAAATTAAGGAGCACGGTGGCAGCTAGAGTTCGCACACAACTTCCGCTAGAGTATTTGCCAATTATTCTGGTAGGACCCTAATTGACCTCTCGGCGATTTCCAGTAAAGCTACCATGTCTCATGCTTGTCTAGGTATAATCAATGTACTGACGCCATCACTTCGTAGGGAAAAACAATTACACCCGAAAGACAAAAGGCCTTCCTGATGCAGAACATGGACATTGAATTGACAGTCCCACTTTTCCCCCTCCACTTGCACATTCTAAGCAAACTTTCATGCCCTACTTTTGTGCTCGAATACCTCGTGTTCCCTTGTGCTCTCATCTAAAAGGATATAAGTCTAGTGCTTTGAGGGACGTTGTACTGATTAATATGTTCGGGACTAGTGGGCAAAATACGTGTAACCACTGTGGAACCTGTTCACATGTTAGTTGTGAGGGACCATCAAGATAACTTAATCCAAGTTCATTACTGCCCTGTCATTTGCCAGTTTCGGCTGGCGTAGATGGCACAAGGAGTTAATCGACCCGATCACCATTGCATCGAAAATGGGCAAAGGTCTACTGCATCGGATTCCGGAAGTCTTTGACTATTGAGTTGAGTCCCGCTCAATGCCTTACGCCCAGGTTTTGCATGTTCGAGTATTCGCATGCGTGTCTATCAATTTCCCCGCAATTCATATGTCCACGTCTTCGGCCAAGAAAGTACTTAGCGTTTGGCTGGTGTCACTATAATGACATTGTGAATGAGAGTTAAGCAGTCCTCTGAGATAATAGGGCTTGCTTTCTAACGTGCCTCTGAAAGTCCCTTTCGAAGAACGAAGGCTTAGGTTTCAGTAATTATGCGACAAAGTATACTGTTAACGTGATTATTTTGGGGACTGACGACCTTGTTTGACTGAATATGCGGCAGGGGATGAAGCCATTACAATCTTTGCCAAAAGGCGGATTGATAAACGTTCATTTTTCGTTAATTCATCATCAGACCATTGCATTAAAGTAACTGGAACGATTTTTTGTGGTGTAGGCTGATCGCTCGTCTTCCCT